ATCACATGGAGTATTACATAATTTTTCTTTCTGTTTTTCTTCTGAAGGTTTTCTTATAACCCTAATACTTTCACCAGATTTCAAGCATTCAAAATATAGTTTTTCTCCCTCAATTAATGAAAAATCACTATGTATGGGGACTCAGAGTACAGGAGGTCTCCCGCAGCATGACTGGAAAATATCATTTCAGAGTTTTTATTTACTAAAGATATGCATTTTACAGATTAAATTGAGGCCAATATTTTCCTCCACAATCCTATTCCCTGGGAGGTAATGACTTTTCTGAATCTGTCTTTATCTGATGATTTTTAAAAAACATTTTATACATAAGTATATTTCAAAAAATATACAATTCTATGTTGTCATTCTGCACTTTTAATTCAATATACACAACGGGTAAGGTTTATTCATGCTGATCTAAGCTGACCTACTGCTTTTAATAGGAAGAGGGGAAGTTACCCATCCTCCTATTGATAAATATTTATTTAAGTTGTTTACACATATTTGATAAGAAACAGTATGGAAAAAATATTTTATTATGTCACCTTGTTCTCATTTGCAAGATTTTATCTAGCTTATATGCTTGAAAGTGGAAATTCTGAGTGTGGGGTATGAATATCTTGAATTTGATTTTTTGTTTAAAAGTTACTTTAAAATTGATATACCAATTCATTAACTCACTATGAGTGTATAAGAGTTTTTATTACCCTACATGCTCAACAACATATAATACTGTATTTTTTAAGGTTATATTTCAATTATTGAATATCTTTCCGTAGGCTTACTAGAGATTTATTTCTTCCTCTGTGAATTTATTGTTAGTATATTTTAATCACTTATCTATTGGATGATTAGTTTCTTTTGTGGTTCTTTTATATTTAAGATATTAATCATTTTACCATTATATGTTTTGTAAATATTTTCTAAAATTCTTTTTAATGGTAATTTGTGGTAATTGCAACTTCAAAATAATCAAATATATTTATGTTTTCCCTTCATATGATGCCACTGGAAATATTTTATATTTTCTTCTTAAAGATTAAAGCATTTTTATTTTCACCTAAAATTAGTCACTGTATATGCTATAAAATAGTGATCCAATTTCAATGGTTTTTTCCATAGGAACAACCACGTGTCCTAATGGAATTTACTATCCAGTAGGTTTTTCCTGATTCACTTGTAACACTGCCTCTGACTTTGATCCAGTTTCCAAATATGCATGGGACTGACTATAGATTTCATTTCTGGTCTATTCGTCTACCCATATGTTGATATCACAATGTCTTAATCATTCTGCCTTAAAACATATTTTGATATTTGGAAGAGTAAGTTTTTCTATCTTGTTTTCTTTCTTCAAAATTACAAAATTTTTCTTAGGCTAGTAAATTTTTGACCTGCTATTTTAGGTTTAAGTTACATCCTTTAATAGGGCTCTAATTACATATAGTTCCTACCATAGAATATGTAAAAATGATATTGATATCTCTTTATATAGACATAAATGGTTATATATTACATATATGTGTGTAATATATTGTATATTAAATATAAATGTGTAATATATATTATAACTACTATGTGTTGTATGCCATTATTTTATATTCTATATTATGTATTACTGTTATGATTATGTCCATAGTCATTTATTAAACGACTTGACTTCTTCTGTCTTCTAGTTGGATATCACTTATGGCACGGAATGCTGTTGATTTTTGCACATTATGCTTACATCATTGTGATATTATCAGTTGAAAGAAACCTGTCAAAATTCCAGGCTTTGTATGAAGACAGTTATATCTTTGGCAGATATTCACTTATTAAGTTATGATTTGCCAGCTCCAAACTCACCCTTCCACACTTGGCTGTGTGCTCCTGGAGGACGAACTCTGAAAACCACGTTTCCCCTGGCGCACCTGACTCCTCGCTTGGCTCTGCCAATGCAGAGTGCTAGAAAGAGCCTGGGTACCGAGCGCAGGGAGAAGGGATATGGTCCTTTGTACCTGCTGACTATTCCCATTTTCTACATTTCCTTTAGTTTATTTCTCTATCAGCGCTTCATCCTGCTGTGGCAGCTCTTCCTATATGCAGCAGCCGTTAGTTTCCATTTGTGGTTTTCCAACACTTTCAGATCCCCCTTCAGGGGCCTTTATTTACAGGCAGGGTTTGTCTTCTGAGTTCAGAAGAAAGCAGTGGCCTCTGAGCGGCATATTTCTGAATACTGGTTTAAAATGTGCTCCTCAAGTAATTGCTTGTCCGTTTGAATGGGCATAAATCAAACCAATCTTTTAAATCATGTGCATGGAAATAACAACCACCTGTATTGTTTTCCCTTCCCCTCCCCTGAAACTAAGCAACAGAATTTTGGTTCATACATAAAATTTGGCTTCTGAAGAAACTAAGGTTGTTATAATATTTAGGCAACTCATTCTGTCTTTGCTCGATACAAAATTTATTATCCTGCTAATGAAGTGTGGTCCGATCTCCTAACCAAACAATTTTACTAAATAGGTGTTGAATCTCTATTTTCAAGGCCACAGATAATGCTTTATTTCTCTTCTTGTCAGTCTTTTCATTTCAACTTCTCCATGCCCATGTGGTTCACCATGTATAAACTACCACTGTATTTCTGGCTTCTTAAATTTAGAGTGTGAAAAGATATCTAGTTTACAGTATTTTGTTTAATTGAGTCTATCAGGGTGACATGGGTTCACAAAATCATACAGGTTTGAAGCCCTGCCTTAGCCTCAAATTACTAAATTAAAAAATAATCATTAACTTTATTAATTTGTTTCTCCTGTCCTAATAGTGGTGTTTCCATATTTCCGAATATATCACATGTACATATTTGCTTCAGAAACCTTAATAAGATCTACATTTGCTGGATCTTATTAAAGATAAGACTTTAAGGATCATGATAAAATCCGACATCTAGATGGAACCAAGTTTCTTTGCTTCACTTGTCTTAAAATTTTTTTAATTGTTTAAAAATTTTTAGTATTTTCTTGTTTTGAAACTGCATTCTCAGAAACACTCAGATGTTCATCAACCAGTATGTATCTGTGATAATTCATTTCAGATAGATTCCATAAAACCCAGAGTAACAGTTTAAACTGAGATTTAGAAGAGTTTGATTTGTAAGGATACATATTTTGTTTTAAAGAGAAGATTTAATACCAAAGTTTAGACTTCTTATTGTTGTTTCATCTTCATTTTTATTATTTAACTTAATTTTGTTTTATTATGTTATCTTGCTTTTCTGTCTGCAGTACAAAGTAATAAATCAGTAAATAAAATCATAAAAGTAGAAAAAGGCATAAAATAATCTGGAATAATATTAATCAGTGCTTTAATATATCTAATATATCCAATTATTCTTAGTTCCTTTTTCTATACCTCCACTGTGCAAGGTATAGGTACCCAAACTAGCTTCACACTTAAAGTCTGTGAAAACTTCAAACACAGGTTTTACTAGAGAAAGATGTAAACACAACTTTCAATACCATAGAAAATTGCCCTCTCCCTTTTCTCACAACTTTTTAAGTTATGAAGGTAGAAGAAAATGCAATTAGGATAATCCACTAAAAGCTTTATTTGCCACCTGCCATTCTCCGAATACCTGCTGATAAAAGTGAGTTTTAACTTGCAGATTTTCCTTGATAGACTGGAATTAGGAAAGTTTTCCTCTAAAGTGAGTGCTCCAGCTGCCACATGGGGATAAATATAGAATCAATCAAATCAAAGTTTGGCAATATGGAAGTAAAAGATGCATTTGATCTGTCCCAACGATTTGTTATTTGCATAGAAATAAAATCATTAACTCATTTGTTTTTTAAATTTCCCAAAGCTTAATTACAGTTATTTGTTATTTGATCTGATTGTCTCTCACCCTGGCTAGGAAAGCAGACCCAACTGAGTTGTTCTTATGATTCTGAGCAGTAGTAGGTGGGTTTGCTTTCCAGGCCATATAAACCCAAGTTGTAATGGGACAGGGATGTTTCACATTATGTCCTGGGCTAGAATATATGAGAGTCACACAGTTTTTGCATGACCTCAGACAAGGTCATGAAAACTCATGTTACAATGAGCAAAACTATCTTAATCTTTCAGCAGCTACAGTGTGTAAACTATAGTTTTTTTTTCTTTTTTAAAATTTATTTTTTAATTTTATTTTAATTGTGGTTCAAGTACAGTTTTCTGCCTTTCCCCCCACCCCAGCTCTCCCCACCTCCCTCCCCAATTTCCACTCCTCCCCCCTGTTCTTGTCCATGTGTCCTTTATACTTGTTCCTGTAAACCCTACCTCTTTTTCCCCTGAAATTCCCTCCCCTCTCCCCTCTGGTCACTGTCAGCCTGTTCTCTGTTTCAGTGTCTTTAGTTACATTTTGCTTGTTTGTTTAATTGTTTACTATAGTTTGTTTTTAATCCGAAGTGCCCCTTTTAGTTTTTCTATTGGGTCAAAATTGTCCATACAAGGATGCTGTCACAGAAATAGATTCTGCTGCCTTACAAACCTCCATGTTTTGGAGCTTTTCAAAATTAAGAAACCACCTCAAAAAGGCAAGTTGTATGAAGGTATATGTAGCAATTATTTGTCATTACTCTTGACATTTCTGGATATCATGATTAATCCCAAGGCTTCTATGGGGAGATGCTCTGGGTTGATTAGAGCCAAGAATATTAAGTTCAGATGTTAAATTGGATACAGATGACGCTAGTTTTCAGTGGGACCAGACCTAGTGACTCAGGGTTATTTGAGTACTTGGCTACCTTCCCTGCTATTTCTCAGAAGACACTGCTGCTTCCTCACCAAGCCGATCACTGTTTCAGGAAGTGACTGTCCCCACACCTTGTGCGTCGTGCGCACGTGTTACGCACCAGCCTCTCTGTCCCGCATCTCCCAGTTCCAGCTAAAAACAAGTGAATGACAAAGGAAATCTTGACATTTAATCTTGACATCAGTTCAAAATTAAATATTGTTTGAATGAACACACGATGCCACTTTTCAATTATTTTTTTTAAAAAAACCTGGCATCTAAGTGACCAGAGTGGAAGTGCTGTGTTGTTGCTTTTGCTTCGTTTTTCTTCCTGGCTCCTTGAAATTGTCTGCTTCCTCGATTCAAGTCATGTGAGTCAGACTCCAAGTTCATTCTCTCAAAGGAAGCAGAGAAAGAGAAGTAAAGAAATAGAATGAGGTTTAGAAAATGGGGGAGAAGCAAGTAAATGGAAAAGAAAGAAGAAAAATATAGGAGTGTGCTCGGATCACTAGTAGTTTCCTCGGGAGTCAACTTTGCTGAGAAGGTAATGTGCCCTTTCACCAGGAAAGGAAACGATATATTTTCTGATTCTACAAGAAATGACGTGGGACCTCGAAAAGTACTAATTTCCAGTGGCATCTATCCTGAGATTTGAAACTTGCTTTATAAAGTTCAAGACCTAAAACTGTGTGTGGTTGGTCAGTAATTCACTTCATTTCACAAACCCACTCCGCAGTGATGACCCTGGGATTCGGTCTTCTCCCCATGCAGAGACTTTTGACACATGGATTACATTTTAGAACCAATAATTCATTAATCTTCTCAATAATCACATTCAGTTAAACATTATTATCCCACATTATAGGTAAAGTGATTGAGGGGAGTCTTTGACTTGCTTAAGGTCAAACTGAAATCGGAGTCAGAAGTGGATGAGGTATGAATATGATTCCATGACCCTAAACCCTAACTCACAATATTACTTAGAAAATGTCAACGTTTTTACCTCTAAATTCTTTTTTTACCTCCTTCAAAACTTGCTCTTATTACATAATTATAGCTCAAATGTCATCTTGCCATTTTAATAAACTATTAAGGAAATTTCCACTAGAGACTTCCTCTTCAGTACTAAACATTATTGCAAAGTAAAGTAGCATTTTTCTCTAGGAGTTTTACATTTTAAAATAGCAGCTAAAAGAAATATGAGATTTTATACTTAAAACATATGGAAATCAGCTTAACGGCATCCTGTTCTTAAAATTGTTGAGTAGGTGCTGAGGATTTTTGTATGGAAAGATACTAGGATAAATGTGAAGTATGACAGAGAAACAGTGGTGGAGAATAAAAAAAAAACAAAAAAAACATGATACCATGAGTTTCTTTCAAACCTTAAAAAAACTGTGTAAAAGTTTCTCTCACTGATGAAATGAGCTCTTTACATATAAATTATATTGTAATAGCAGAGCTCCTGGGTGGAAAAGAGTTCCTTCTCCTGCTGGCAAAAATTAAAATAATCACAGATGGCTAATGATCAAAAATACTGAGTGACAGCTCTGAAGTATAAAACGGAGAAGGTTCTCAGAGGAGTGTTACCAGGGTTTCTTAAGTCAACACTCAAAACTGGTTTATGCATACCACAAAGCATTTCCCCAGTGGATATTCATATATAGGAAGCTTTTATTCTGATTTAGAAGGTACCGTGTAGAATCTTAGGCTCCTTCAAAAAATTAATGGAATTCCTTGTCTTTATTATTATGTTAGTATTTTGGAGTAAAATGCAAGGATTTGCTCTGGAAAAGGAGTTCATAACACTACCTAAAATAATATGAAAAACTCGCATAATTCAGGCATTGAGGATACAGTCTCTTGAGCTGGCTGGTGTCATCAGTGGGTTGAGCGCCAGCCTGTGAACCAAAAATTTGCAGGTTTGATTCCCAGTCAAGGCACCTGTATGGGTTGTGAGCCAGTTACCTGGGTGGGGGCATGTGAGAGCCGATCAATTTTGTCTCCCTCTCTTCCTCCCTCCCTTGCCCTTTCTCTAAAAAAATAACTAAAATCTTCAAAGAAAAAAGAGAATATAACCTCTTATTTTAAAATATAAGTGAAAAATTGGGATCTTCCTGGAAAACTCCACTTTCTTTATTAAAATTCCAAACAATCTTACTAATAGTTAACTAGTGGGTTTTGACTACTTATGTATCTAATAATTTTTTAAAGAATGTTACTTATTTAACTTATTTAATGCTAATAAATAACCCTGGGAAATATAGCATACTTTGGAAACCAAGTACAGAAAATGTTTAAAAACATGGCCAAGGTCACACACCACAGCTGGTAAGAGAACTTGCTTAAACAAATTTGTAAACATAGTCTTTAATCCTAATGCAGCCATTGCATTAATCATGCTATTGGGGTATGGATTCAAGAAACTTCATGATGAGACCAACCAACACCAAAATACTGCACACGATATCCCTTTTAAAAGATTTAAAAAACCACTTGCTGGTACAATCACCCAATAAAACATATATGGCATTATTATATGTAATAACTTTTGAACTGTAACTTGAGTTTAATTTTATTCATTTATTCACTTATTAATTTGTATAATCAAAAGATGACTAATATATTAAATGCCTGTTGAGATTTAAGTTTTAGAGGTACAAATATATATAACACGTGCCCTGCCTTTTTCATGTTTATATTCTATATGGAGATGTGTATGCTATGTGTATGCTATAATAAATACATTATGTGCATGGAAGATTCATATATGTGTGCCAAGGGTTACAGGTGAAGAGAGTAATTGTTTTTTTCCTGGTCACAGTTATCAAAGAAGGCATCCCATTTGGCAAAGACAAGGTAACAACATTACATATAGCACAATAAACCTCGTTATCCTCTATGGGGAATGGGGGAGCTCCACCAGACTGGAGAAAGTTGAAAAATAATTATCATGGTGCTGGCATAGCTCTGCACACGGCAACATGCTTATTGAAGTAATAATCCTATGTTTTCTATATCCGACTTGGTAAATTATAATCACAATAGACACATTTCTTGGGAAATGCAGTCACATTATTGACAAAGTAAATGTATGAATATCATAAGCAAGAACCATTTTTAAAGTGATTTTTTAAAAGGACCTTTGCAAACCTGCAGGTGGCAAGAACAGAATATTTTGGCAAGAACAGTAAAAACTTACTGTTGTTAGCATTGGCTGAAAAAAACGCCAGTTAGTAACCATTTAAATGGTTGCTTTGGGGGTATCTCTGCCAGAATTGCTTCTAATGTACGATTTCTTCATTTGGATGTTACTTACTCTGACTAAAACATTTCCAAGTCAGCTCACAGTACTTCACAATACACTGAAATGAGTAAAAGTATTAACAGCATGCCTGAGGCAACAGAAACTTTGAGGTTAATTTCCATTTCTTCAAGTATATTTGATGAATGATGTGACAAAGGAACCCTAATTAAGGTTGAAATCCTGAATACTAAGTAAATGAGAAGTGCCACTTACATTCATCTTCCACAGTGATAACATTGCCACTTCTGCTTCTCTTTAGCCTAGCCCTTGACTTTTGGGGAAACCTTTTCCTGTGTTCTTTTTTTTCCTCTATCACTTTTGCTAAGAGTAGATCATGAGTATCCTACCTAGTTTTAGTTAAGCTAAAATCTAAAGTCTGTCTTTTTTTGTTCTATTTCTTCTCACATACTCTTTTTATATCAAAAGCAAACATTTTATTTTCAATTTAATTTCAAAAATGGTATTACCTTTCATATGGCAATTTCTGTTTGTCCACACATTATAATGTTTAAAGGCAAAAATATAAGATGAACCTTTAACTTCTAAAAAATAAAAAATGAAGCAGTTAGAATTCTCTCAATAAAATTAGCTATTTAATAATGCCATTTCATTGTTACTATTATTATTACTATTTTTATGATGATGATTATGAGTTAACTAGAAAGGATACAAAGTGTTTAATCTCACACTAGCTGGAGAACCTTAGCAAGTTACTTCACATTGGTGTAACTCTAGTATCTTGATTTAGAATCACCCCAGTCAGTCAAGGAAGTAAAACTACTGGCCACAGTGTTTTGGTTGAATTGTGTTTCATTTCATTTTGAATATTTTCATCGAAATAGAGGTTGTCCTCTGAAATAATTTAGTCTAGAGAAATCAAAACTAATATTCACAAAACAACCACTGGGAAGGTTTATACCATCCATTACAGTGACTCCTTCCAGGATTGCTTTGGAACTCTCTGGTAAATCTGGGTATTTGGTGGGGAGCCCTGGGGTGTAGACTTAGACACTGCCTAGCAGCTGCCAAGTGACTTGACTTGGGGACTCTCTGACTCTCAGCACTTCCTGTTGCCTTCACTTTCGACTGAATTGCAGCATTTTCTGGTTTAGGGTTGCAGTCCTGGGTTACAATTTAGAATGGTCATCAGGAACTAAGCTGCCTTCTGGTTTGTGTGGTATTACAGAGTTCCATCTGGTAGAACAACGGCGGTGAGAGCATCTATTCTTGGAGACAGCTTTTGGAGGTGAATTTTAGCCAATTGGTTGACCTATGACTAAAAAGAAAATGATTTTTATTGTAACACTGCTTAGCTTCTGTATAATCCAGATTCAGGAGAGCACTGACCACTGAACAGGTCTTTAAATCACTCATAGTACTATACTGATATTAAAGTTGTTTTGTCAAAGATCAGGGGAATGGAATACCTTATCCACAGACCTTTATGACCTTCCATAATAAAGATGCAGGATCAAAAAGAAATAGATTAATGGTCCAGAGAAAAGGGAATTTGCCTGTGGCAGAGAGCAGATGCTCAGAAGACAGATGCCAGGTAGATAAGGATGTTTCTACTGCTGCAAGCAGGGTCAGGGTTCCCAGAGCCCCTCCTGCCCTGGGGGATCTTCTTCCTTATTACACTGAGGGAGCTGCAGGAGAAGACCCTGAATTTATCTCTCTGTCCAGAACCCATCACGGAACCAAATTTAGTGGAGAACAAGCCCCTACCAGGCCAGGGAAATACTCTTTGTGAAGATTTCCAGTGGAAGTAGGTCCAGAGGGCCAGCCCACTGAATATTATAGTAATTTTCTACATTGGATCTGTTAAACTATAAAAAAACACAAATCCTTCTTATAGGGATTATCCTACTAAAATAACTGACTTAATTACAACAATTTTTGCCATCCGCCATCCCAACTGGGTAGACATACAAGCCTTACTGAATATTTTGCTTACAGGGGATGAGTGGAGGTTGGTATTGGATAAGGCAAATGAAGAGGTTCAAAGACTGCATGAAGAAAATGCAGATGAGGCTTCCACCCTTACTAGGGCAGTATTTTTACAGAGTCCAACTGGAACCCTAATGAGC